TCGATCGATCTCTTGTCCCTTACCAATAATTTATAAATATTTTCCTTCGATAGCCTTTCCCGTGGGGTGACGGCAAGCACACCTTATTCCACAATCCCGTGAAAAATCCGATACCGCCGCACGGATACGAAGTACCTGACCCGTACGCGGTGAAGACCAGCGAACGAAAGGATTAACGTGAGGGAGAACACGTGGTTCGCTTCGCCGGCGTCGATCTAAATTCATCTTCGCCTGGAAATGTAAACGGAAAACCTGACGATAAACTCCGTTGTTTAAGGTTCCTTTGAGACCGGTCCGCTTTGAAGCAGCGAATGTTACCTCTTCGCGGTGTCCCCGATAGCCGACCGTTGAATTATTCGCGACCATGTGCTGTATTCGATTGCCGGATACGCTGCATCCGGTGGACCGATGAAAATAACGCGGCGATTATCGCTTGCCCGACTCCGCCAACGTGATCCCTCCGTTACAGGATCTTCGGACGTTAACGAAATTCTCACGATTACTGAAAAGGTAGAGACACTTGAGTTTGATGAACGTTACGGTGAATGTTCACGTTGACTTTGATCGAATGAATGTGAGTCGCTCAGGAGACTGCGGTTAAGTAGAGAAAAAATTGAGGAAATTAATGCTTTGCCTTCTGAAAAAAGGCTTGCTTATTTATTCGATTCAAAACAGAAAATAGCGAAACATCGACTTAACCGCAGTGGCTTCTAAGCGACTCATATACTTAAATAAATATTGTTCGAACCTCTGGTTGTCAAGATCCAAACGAACGGTTTTTCTAGGATCACTAGATTAACTGTACAATGGTTATCCGTGAACCTACCGTTAAAAAAGCTGATTTGGTGATACCTAAATTGAAATGTAACTCAATTGAAATCTTAGCAAATACATGCGGATAGCTTCTACAAAGCAGTTAGGTAGTTCCAGTGTGAAACGTTACTCGAACCGTCGTGGAGTGGCGGATCCGTTCGAAGATGAATCGCAATAGGAGGTGCTTATATAATTCGGGTGGCATTCCCAGCCGGAGCAAAGAAGTACGGGACACTATTGGCCCTCTCCGCGAGCGAAGAGCGTAATAACACGGCACGGCTTGTTAAATTTCCAACACCACTCGTTCCTTGTAACGACGCGTCCAGAAGAGTCCCAGATGTTTGTGTCTCGCGGTGGCAATCGTGCCGTCGAGGTGTTCCTCTCGAGGAAGGTCAACGTCGGACGAGCGCCTCCCGAGCACATCCTCTTCGGCCTCTCTTTCTCGCCGTCCGGAGAAATCTTTCGCTTGCGTCACGTGCACCGACATGTGCGTATTCGTGCCGGTAACTTTGCCTAATGCGGTTTGACGTCACGGCGTCGCTTTGTCCCGGCCGTTCGAGGATGGAGCGCAACTGCGACCGTGTCCCACCCGGTCCCGACTCGCTCGAAGCCGCGGAATGAGCCGCGAAACCGCCGGCTACCATGCCGATTCCATATCGGCGGACTTCCATTGCGTAATTGGTACCAGGGCTCGAGTTAATTAAATTATCCGTCGCGTGCGCGATATTGCGATCACGGGTTGGGATGCCGCGCGTTGTCCAGCGGATGAGCCCTGGAACGAACGTGGATTTAACTGATCTTCGTCTTCTCTCACCTCGTATTTTGATGCTGATTTGTTAGTGGTTGGTCCTGTTACGAGTAACCACGAAGAAACGTGGCGAGAGATGCTTCTTGTTCATGGACAGTGTGTAGTACCTTGGACTTCCAAGTCGAATTTTCCGAACGAATCGAATGTCAGCCTTCAATTTCCATTTTCGTGTCGGTTAAAATGCCAGCCTGTACAGAGGAATAGGTATCTATAAGTTCCCGATGAAGATTCGAGGCGTATTTAATTGTGCGCCAGGAGAATAGGTTTATTTCTAGAGGACTGACCGAAACTATTGAAACGAACCGAAGGCCTTTCAGCCGACACCGATATTTCGTCGCTCTCGCGTTTGAATCTTTTGTGGGGATCAAACCGCGCTTGTGCATTCATAAAAATGTCCCTTGTATCGCGCGCGGTTCACAAAAGAGAACGGTATTTACCGTCCATCGAGCGACCCCCCGGCGCTTTTGTGCCAAATCACAGGGAATATCGTCACTAACCTCCCGCAATCTCTGTTCTTTTTGATAGGGGAATTTCATTCGTCTCTGTTCCGTTGGCCGCGAGTGGGCCAAATTTGCTCGGCCCTGTTCGGCAACGTTGTAGACTCAACGTCAGGGAATATTCGGAGAGACAGCGAGAGAGAGACAGAGACAGAGACAGAGACAGAGAGAGAACGCTCTAACCGGCAAGTTCTTCGCTAATGTCAAAGGTCAGTTTTCTTCGTCAGCGACGCATACGCGAGCCTGTACAAACCAGACGCCAGTCGACTCGATACAAATTTCAATGTAACCTCGTCCACGTTATATGCTACCTGTTCAATTTCCTCCGACGTGTTTTTCTGCCTGTTTTTATGTCGCCTGGGGACATCTAGTATGTACAAGTTTTTTTTCCTTGTGATCGAGGGTAAAGTCCATCGTTCCGTTAGCTAACGACTACTTTCGTCTCCGGCGCGTCCCGCTATCTATATCCAATACACTCCGCGAACCCAATTATCTATTAATAAACCCGACTGCTCCTAATCTAGCTCCGCGCTTGGAAAAACAGAGAATTCGAACAATGTTCGCGTTCGTTATTTTCGCTTCTCGCCTGCGACACGTCAATCCTCCGTCGGCCCTTAACTGGCTTCCTTCTCACCTCTATAAAAAGAAGACTCTCGGAAGGGCGTTCAAAAACGTCGCTGGGAAGTAAACAAGACGCGTCGGGTCACTCGAGAGCCCAAGATTTGAAACACGTTCCTCGAATAGACGTTTCGTTTGCCCTTTGGAAGCTACTTTTGTATTCTCCTCTTATTCGCATCAGAATATTCCATCCGAGATTCGGAATCGATTTCATAAATAATTTCCATTGTCGTTCCGCGAGGGCTGGCTGAACTATTCACAGGTTGGCGGAGGACGGAACCCCTGCTAGACAGGTGGGCGCACGTTTCTCGTGGGTGGAACGGAGCGTTCTCGGTGGAATCGGACCTCGGTAAAGTCTTAAGAGAATGCGCTTAACGCGTCCCGTGCCAGGGAAATTTCGGTTATATTTTCCTTGTGCACTGTATTGATCTTTTCAAGAAAATATTCGGTTACATCCGAGTTTCTGGTCATTCTTATACAATATATTCCGATATTGTTTCTTTATCAGTGCTTTGCAACGTATACCGCTATTCTTGACTGTGTCCCTCGAGCGTTTTCCCATAGTTTTTCTTTTGCAACAAAGAAAAGCAGGAACAATGATTAATTTTTTGCATTACACTATTACCAACTTGGTTACGTCATTAAACATTTCCATTTCGCATTGTCTATCTTATATGTTATTATTTTCTAGTGACCAGTGACCGATATGCCGCTTAACGCGTTGAAAATATTCTTACAGAAATTCGCGTGTACGTGGTACACGTGGCACTGGACGCGTTAATATAATTACACGATTAGAATGCCATCTCCCAAAACTCGCCGCGGCTAATGAGATATTTCATTTTGAACGTCGGCCGCCGTACCAAGCAAATTGTTTATTGTTCGAAGGAATATTTCAGCCAGCGCTAATTGGAACGTCGACGGGATGTCCGGCGCATACTTTTCAAGAATTCCAACCCCGTCGGACAAGCGTGTGCGACCGTACGTCGCGGAGGGCTGTCCCGAGTCTCGGCAGCTCCGCTCGAGCACGCTGGTGTTGTGGCGCATCTGGTCTCGCGTTTTCTTGCTCGCTCGGGGGTTTCGATCAATAGGCCAGGGAGGCGGCGGAGGCGGCTAACGGGCGGCTGTCCATCCAGTGACGGCTTCGACAATTTGCATTGCTAATCGCTTGTAATTAAGAAGCTCGTGAAATTACTTGAAATTCCGTTGGCAACGCCTCCAGCGTCTTCACCGAACCGCTGCATCGGCGGTGTCCCTGCGGGAATAGGTGTAGTTTTATTGGAATGATAGACGCGGGATAAACGATATACAAATTCCTATCTAGTCCTCATTTTCTTTTTCCAACTTAACGAAGCATCGTTTGATTTCGTAGTTAAAATTCGCATCTACGTTTCGAGAACTAGGACTAAACAATTTTCCTCTATGATACCACGTTCCTGAGCTTTTACGCTGGCAATGGTTCTACGTCTAATCCCGAATAAAACACTACTGACTTATAATTCCTTATTTAAAAAACTCCACAGATCACCGTGTTAATTCCATATTAACTCATTTGCAACCATATGTTACTTACATCATTTCTCTAATACACCTTCCATTTTCTCACCACTACGTCTAAAACATCCAACTACTTTTATCTAAAAATAAAGCTACTTTCATCGGGTATACAGAAGCAGTTTCTGAAAATCCACGGCAGTTTCTAGAAGTTCCGACAAAAAGTAGGGAATTCCAGCATAAAGCTATACCAAACATGTACTCAGGCTCGAGAGTTAATAGCTCCTTACGCTTGCGGATTTCCAGCGGTACATTTGAAACGTTATATCAGCCCTCTAATTCTAATCGTTCCCATTTGGGAAAGCTGGCTGCAAATGGGTTAAAGGGAAAAGTACAGGATTACTCGAGCGCGTTCCGGATAGCTGGAGGGCGCGCGCCTCAGTTTTACGGTACTGTTACTGGATCCTCGGGTCGCGGGGGGTAGCAGGGGCCGCTCCCATTGGTCCAGCTCGATTTCGCGGGTTTGAGAAGTCGCGCGTGCTAACGGGCCCGCCAATCGGAGCGACCTCCAGCCCGTCAGTCAGTGGCCGCGCGTTGCCCACACAGGATCGTGCTGTTTTTGGATATTACCTGCCTCCCGAGATCCGTCAAACATCTTTGTACCGTTGAAACATCATTAAAAGACACCCCGCACCATGTCTTCTCCCTTCGCCACCATCAGCCTTCCCTGAAACATCGTTATCTGTCAGCGAGAGCGAGTGTCGTTCGACGACTGTGTGCATCTTGAGTTGTCAGTCCAACCTGGCACTTGAACGATGTGACAGTGCAAAGTACGTGTAACAGGACTATACCGATTTCTCTTTTCTCGACGGAACAGTGGATACAGCGGTCCCTCGAGAAACTTCCCTGGCAGAAAGTGTTCGAGCCATCCATGCTCGAGGAATCCATTTGTATACATATCTAAAACGGAAAATAGTATGTATATCAGAGACGTAGAACAGAACGGTTGGCAAGATTCAAAAAGAGTACTTACAAAGTTAATACAGACTCTTGTCTCATGACATAACGTAGAGCTCCTTTGCAAATTCAAATATACAAACTGAACCAGGAAGATAGACACTTCCTAGAGTTCCTCTCTTTTCCTTGTTCTTCACTTTGTAGAGTACATTGAATTTCCTATGAACATTATATAATACTATTCATTATTATGCTACTCAAATACAGTATTAACCCTTCGCACTCGGAGCACTTAACGTTGCATTCAAAATGTCTCGAAGCACTTCCCAGTGCAAGGGTTTAAAATCAATGTTAATATTTACCTTTGCCATTCATGGGAATACCTCGCACGTCGAGTTTCGAAATAATTACCGACAGGAGATTCGTTCGATCGAATACTTTTTGCCAGGGCCAGCGGGTCCCGTCTGCTTTATCGACGTAGCCGGTCGCCGGTCACTCCTGGACAGAAGTGTGCCACTCGTGACCCCTCTATTTCGGCTTCCCGCGATTTGTCTGTACGAAAGGTGTGGCGCGAAAAGTACGAGAGGAGAAAGAACGGAAGCGCCGGCCGTCTTGTCGATCGTAAACTCTGCCCTATTTTCGCGACGCCCAAGGTTAAGGAAACCCTTTGCCTGTAAGTACGTCGATACGACGTCGAATGTGGTTTCTGTGCTTTCGCGATGATCGCCGTGCCGTTCGTCGTCGAATCGTCGATCCATCGGCGTGTGCCGCGTCGGAAACGATTCGACCGATCTGACAGGTTGCGGTCCAATAGGGGAACCCTGGCTTATCTTTCAACGAACCTTTCGAAACGAAAGTGAAATATGATTTTAAGGGCCACGAACGTGCCGCGACACGGCCGGGCAATTAGCGTTAATGAGATCCCGAGGTTATAAATACAGGCGCGATTTACGACGGCGTCTTCGTTTGAACGGAAAGTTTGTAGGTTAAGGTGGTCGCGTTTCGAATCGTAAATTTCGCCGCCAAGATTCTACTGTTTCTTTCATCGTGGATGTATAATTCTTTCGTTTATGGTACCTTAAAATATCTTGTTCTTGATCATGGGGACAGTTTAATGGTGTGACTGCCAAGGAACGGTTCATAATTGCGATTCATCGACTAAAGCTGCTGCTGTCCCGAGTATGTATGATCAACGTAGTACAAGTGGGTATAAATAAGCGGCTTACGCAACATTTTGTTTATTGCTACCCTGTACGATCGGGAATTTGTAATTTGGTTTCGTGGAGTTTAATCGTTTTATAAATTGCTTATGCACTTGTATATCTGAATTCCTCGTGGATTGTTGTGATTATTTTATTCTATTTATTCGGAACTTTTATCTTGGCCCTTAAGATGACTTCCGGTTTTACAGTTACATGTTAATTGCACATTATATACTTTACTGTTTTATTATTTTCGTACTACGAATTGTAAACGTTAATTGTTTGATATAATGTATAATTTAATCGTTTAAATCAGTAAAATAATTTCATAAATTGAACTGTTTTAAAACGTGTAAGCAAACGATATTACAGACTAGTATAGAAGTATAGTTTACTATATATAACGTGCACACTATAGTCCATTCCTTGTTAATGTTAATCGCATTACCGAAATCGATTACAATATTCTTATTAATGTCCGCTGAACCGACCACAGCCGACCCCGACCGGGGATTTGCGTGAAAGGGTGCGGTGCAAACACAACGAGCATTTGATGTGCTTCAATTATAGACCGAGAAAAACAGGCAGTCGATGGTTCGGGGAAGTCCCTGTTTCCAATGCGCGAGAAAGAAACGGTGCACGCGAGCATCGGCTATTTTTCATCGGATATCTACTAGATCGAATCGTAGATAGAAATATTTATATATCGACTGTGCGAGTGGTTGATGATCACTGAGATAGAGATCAAACGATCACCGATTACACCTTAACGGACTTAAGTTTACACCTTACACTTAACCGGTATTGAGTTTCAATACTTATTTCTCTTTTTTCCAGGGTCGCGCTTATGGTACCATGAAGTTGCACTGTAAAGCGGAAGCGGAAACCTTGGAACGACGAGAGCTTCCCTTTAGGTCGGTCAGAGGATAAGAAACGACCGCAAAATGTTGATAAAGGAGTATCGGATACCGCTGCCTCTCACGGTGGAGGAGTATCGAATCGCTCAGCTTTACATGATAGCGGTAATTATCTCGGCTATTGATTACCGGAACAACTGGAGAACTGGTTCTCTCTAAAATGTCCTTCGTTTGCAGAAAAAGTCCCGGGAGGAGAGTCAAGGAGCGGGCAGCGGTGTAGAGATCATTGTAAATGAACCGTACAGCAATGGTCCTGGCGGAAATGGACAGTACACTCATAAGGTTTATCACGTAGGCAGTCACCTTCCAGAATGGTTCAAAAGTTTGCTACCTAGGTCGGCGTTGATCGTTAAAGAGGAAGCATGGAACTCCTATCCCTATACGAAGACCCGTTACACTTGCCCTTTCGTCGAGAAATTCTCCATTGAAATAGAAACGTACTATTTTCCTGATAATGGATTTCAGGAGAATGTGTTCAAGCTTAGCGGTAGTGATCTGAGGAATAGAATCGTTGGTAGATACTCATTGCTTAAGATTCGAGGTTTGATGCGGCCACGTTGAAATCTATGGGTCTTTTTGATTGTGCAATTGAATTGCAGACGTGATCGACATCGTTAAGGACCAGTACGTCGGTGACTATGTCAAAGAGGAGGATCCTAAGTTGTACGTGTCTCAGAAAACTGGCAGAGGTCCGCTCACGGAGTCATGGTTGGAAGACTACTGGGCAGATGTGAAAGTACATAAGTTCTTCTTGCGATGCACTATACAATTTTTGTTTGTATAGTCGGATTAAGTTGGCCGTTTAACACGTTCCCTGCAGCGTCACATATTTGTGGAGGCTGTAATCCTATGTTTTACATAATGGAAAGGTTTATTGGATTGAAGAAAATATTGAGGAGACCGTCAGCGAAATAGGCGCTGGTAGCGAACGTGTTAAGCTGCGTTAAACGGTTCGAGTCTTGGTGATAAAGCAATACTGATACATCAGATCTTTTCTTTAGGGAAAGCAACAACCAACACCGTCCGGAAAGTCTTTAATGTGCGCCTACAAGCTTTGTCGCGTAGAGTTTCGCTACTGGGGCTTGCAAACAAAGTTAGAAAAGTTTATACATGATGTAGGTTAGTACTGTGCACACGTACGCTTACTGTAATTCTGACTGTAACTCGTCTGATACGCGTCGTGCGCCCTGAACGTTTTCAGCCCTACGGAAAACCATGGTGCGAGCCCACAAGCAAGCTTGGGCTTGGCAGGACGAATGGAACGGCTTAACCATGGAGGACATTCGGGAAATCGAAAAGCAAACTCAACTGGCGTTGCAGAAAAGAATGGGTGCCGTGGAAGGAAGCGAAGAATCGACGAACGAGAACCAAGAGAAAACAAACTCTAACGCGACTCCGCAAGACTCAGATGTTGCTGCTACTCTGGCGGCTACTCTTGGCAGCATCGAAAAGAACGAAGACCTTCAGAGTCCACCGAGTGTCAGGAAATCTTCTGAAATATCCGCGTCGAATACAGCTGCCAGTTCCGAGGGTGAAGCCAGCCCTGAGGACTCTCCAACCGAAGTACCTGAACTTAGGTAAAAGTGAAAGTAAAATCAGGAACCTTTCTGCTTCAGTGGTAGTCTGTTCGATGGTGTGCGGTATCTAACGTAGCCAAATCTGTTTCAGAAGTGCTCCTGCTGAGGATAAAGGGGATGCTAAGAAAGGATGGAAAAAGAATAAAACGGCGGTCCATTCGCCTTGCTCGAATAAAAGTTTTGACATGCAGATTGCGAATTGGCGGATGGAGAGCATCGTCAGAGAATCTGAATCCGGTAGCGAGGAAGAATTCTTCGATTGTCAAGGTAAAATAGCCCATTCACGTTGCACAGCATGACTCTAACTCTTGAAGAAAATTGACTTGCATATAAGCAACATTTGGCTGACGAAATTCAACTTTAAAGCGGATGGTACAGCGAATTTCTTGGACAATATTCTTCTCTTTCAAAGGGAATGCGACCGAAACAGCTTGCATTCTTCCAAAAGGGAAACATGTTCTCTAGAAATTCGCACTTTGCCAGTAGAGACTACAGCATGAGCTGGTATCTTTTGACATTTTCTATTTGTTTTATGTGTGTCCTCTCTGTTTTTTAAATTGCACTCCGCACTGCAGCTGGGTTCGTTATACCTATTATACGCTCAGGTAGGACATGTAGATAAATCTTAGAACTACAGACGCGTTAAAGTGTCTGTCGGAAGATACACTTCTGGGATTAAAGATCGACAATGACACTAGTGTTAGTATTCTGTGAATGAATTTGAAACATTGTACGACTGCATTTATGCCTTTTTAGATGACGACAAGCGAGTTTATTGCTTAGAGAAATTTATCACTGCGAAAAGTCTGATCAGTTATATCGTAGACAGACGTGGAGATACAGCTTTACGCATGGAAGTTTCAATAACGATATTCGATAGCATGAGTCAGCAGCATGACTTTACATGAAGTAACAGATCTCTTCTAAAATTCCATACTCGTAGTTAACGCAGTAATATACTACAGACTACCACATACATTTCTACTGTTTGCTTCTTGTGACGCCTAATTCTGGTCCGAGGGAGCCGAAATCCCGATGCGTGTTCTTCTATTTCCTATCTTAACACGTGTCACAAATGCTTAAAAAGGCACAATGCATAAGCAATGTTAAAATTTTTGGTTGCACAGAGGACTTTGGAGATAACTCTTCATTAGCTAAATGGAGTTCTTTGGATCTTCTAGCAGAAGAGGAGGACAATACGTTCGCTTCGACCATTACCGCAGATAAAGAAGGTAAATCGTGATCGTCGATTCAGATACTCAGAGATTTCCGAGACTATCATACGAGTTATGTAAATTTCCATTCGCAGATGACACGATATTCTCGCCTTCTTATCTTCAACGAATGGCTTGTGAACGTAGCAGTAAACGATTACAGATCTCCACATCGACTAGCATCGACGTTTCCTGTCCAACTTCGCCTCAACATTCTCCGACGCATCAACCATGCAAGACTACAGTGCTCCTTATTGTGATGCATGCGGGAAGCGTGTTAGGTAGTTATAGAATTATATAATTATAAATATATTCATTATATTTTGAATTTCTTAAGCAATGTAATATTATTCTGGTTATTAAAAAATATTTTAGATGCCAACGTAGACTTGACTGCGAAAAAATCGGATATCACAACATTCAAAGGGGCCTTTGAGTCAGTTATGAGACAACACTACCCTAGCATGGTTGGTCACATTGCTATTAAGTTCGTCTCTTGCCCTTCAATTTGCACCGAAGGTCTTGGCATTCTATCAAGGTAAGGTCACAACGGTCAGGTCGAAGAATTCTGACCTTTTACCTAATTCTGTATGTATTATACTTCAATGTATTTCCTTTCAGTTTAAGTCCGTATAGCTTTGATATATCACCTTCTTCCGTGGACGCCCCTCAAGTGACCAATGACACTATTCCAATCGGTGCGATACCATTGCTTGCCAGTTCAACCCCCGAATATCAGGACGCAGTTTCGCGAGTCATAGCTGGAGCTAATCAAGTTTACAATGAATTCATAAAAAGCGAAGAGGGCCGTGGCTTCACGGGACAAATTTGCTTCATAGGGGACTCAGTAGGAGCAATTTTAACTTACGACGCTTTGTGTAGATCAGCACAGTCTAGACATAATAGTGAGAACAATATTTTGGATAGCCAAAACGTTGAGTGTAACGACGATGGGAGACACTTGACAGCACCTTCTCCCAGAAGAAAATCTTCTAGCATAAGGTAAGAACCGAGTGAAAATATGTTTGTTATAATTGTGGAAATCTATTATGGTAGATTAACGCGTATTCTCTTTGTTTCAGTGATCTTCAACATTGTAAATTGGACTTTGAAGTAGGAGAGGTTTTCATGTTCGGTAGTCCACTCGCTTTAGTTCTGGCGTACAGAAAAATTTCTGCAGGCGGCGATAAGAATAGTAATATAAAAAGACCGTTGGTGAATCAACTATACAACTTATTCCATCCTACTGATCCTGTAGCTGCTAGATTAGAGCCTCTGATCTCTGCAAGATTCTCTCTACTTCCACCAGTTAATGTGGCTCGGTATCAAAAGTACCCACTCGGGAATGGTCAACCGTACCATCTGCGTATGTATTTGTCATATAAAATTATAAGTGGAAAATGTGAATATTCTAAGTGGTATATTTTTCTCAGTGGAAACAATTCAATCGAACCCACAATTATTCACGGATGGTCTAAACATTCCAAACATGTCCATGTCGCATATAAGAAGGCTATCCGATATATCGATTCATAGTACTATATCCGGTATGGTTGAGAATATTCCTTTACAAATAGTATCCACGTGTAAGTAAAAAGTAAATTGATTCGTTTAATATTCAAGGTATAATTATTTTGTTCTCATGACTGGCGATTGTTACAGTGACACAGAAATGGTGGGGCACAAAGAGACTAGATTACGCGCTTTACTGTCCAGAAGGTTTAGCAAATTTTCCTACGAACGCTTTGCCTCATCTTTTTCACGCCAGTTATTGGGAGTCTTACGACGTCATAGCGTTTATTCTACGACAATTAGGCACATTTGATTTGCCAATACTCAATAACGAAGAGAAAGAATTATCTAGCTTCCGTCCAGGTCAACCCAGAGAGAAGTGGAACAAGAAGCGTACCTCTGTTAAACTAAAGGTAATTCTCAGCGAGAAAAGAAGACGTATCGTTACAGATACTCTATCCTTGCACTTTGGGTAACCATATTTTTTATTCAATTAGAATGTTGCTGCCAATCATAGAGCGAATGATGTAATTATTAGAGAAGGAGCACCACAAGTGTTGGTTGCTAGATTTATGTACAGCCCGATAGACGTCATCGCATTAACAGGTATATTAAAAACAATGCCACGTTAATTACGTACTTTGGACTCGTCTCGCGAGTACGATTACTTTTTCTAGGTGAAAAAGTGGATATCCATATCATGAAGGATGCTCCGGCAGGAGAATGGACGTACTTATCAACAGAAGTGACTGATAAAAATGGTAGAATAACATATAGGATACCAGACGACAAAGCATTTGGTTACGGATTGTATCCGATTAAAATGATCGTCAGGTAATATGATTAATCTGCGAACGTTAAAATGGAAGTACCGGATATAATACACACAAGCTCCTTTTCTTTAGAGGTGACCATACATCGGTAGACTTTTTCTTGGCTGTGATTCCACCGAAAACAGAGTGTGTAGTATTTAGCATAGATGGTTCGTTCACTGCAAGCATGTCCGTTAGTGGGAAAGATCCGAAAGTTAGAGCGGGAGCCGTAGATGTTGTCAGGTACATTTTCGATGTAACGACACGAAGATAAACTGCGTTTCGTTTCTAATTCATCTGTGTTCCGCTTCTTCCGTTTAGGCACTGGCAAGAATTGGGTTACTTAATTATTTATATTACCGCGAGGCCTGACATGCAACAGCAGAAAGTCGTTTCTTGGTTGTCTCAACACAATTTTCCTCACGGTCTTGTATCCTTTGCGGATGGTCTGTCGACAGACCCATTAGGCCATAAAGCCGCGTACTTAAACAGATTGGTGCAGGTAAATAATTATCTAAAAATCCATTGTTGTTCTTTGATGAATTATAGGTATACAATGCGAGTGTGCGTCATGTTCTTTCTTGAGAATTATTTAATCTTCAATGACGGCGACAGAAGTTTAATTATTTCAGATTTATTAACATAGTTGTGTAAGATCTATTTGTTACTCGGTTTCTGTTGCTTATTTTCAAAATGATAATTCCATATTTTTAGGAGCACGGTGTGATAATTCATCACGCGTACGGCAGTAGCAAAGACATTAGCGTTTACACCGCGATTAACCTTAAGCCGAGTCAGATTTTCATCATTGGAAAAGTGCCAAAGAAACACCATCTTCTGGCCACGATTCTCCACGACGGCTATGCCGCTCATTTGACCATGCTACAGGCTCACGGGGGCTCGAGGCCTGCTCAGGGTAACGCTCGCATGGTGATCCCAAGAGGTCAGTTCGGTTTACCCGGGCAAAATGCTTCTCTACGGCGGAGAAGGTAAGCCGTTTATTTCACGATACACGTAACACACGATACGGTTTACTGTGTCTTATTAGATTACATCTTGTCGTGATGTGGGCATTTTTAAGGTAATAATTCATTCGATCCTTGCTATCCTCGACGTTCAGACGTTTCGATCCCTGCAGAACGGCGGAAGTGTCGTGATAAATGTTGTCTCCTAGAAAGAAGACGTGCAGAGTGGGCGTAAGGCATTTCGGAGATTAATCAAAAACTCTCTCTATTATCTGTACATAGATAATGCTGTATTTTTATAAACTGTACTGTGGTGTCAGTATGAAAAGGTTTCAAGCAAAAAGTAGTTGTTTCAGGGGCGACGATGGTGCGTTCTTCGTACTCGCGCCCGAATCGATGTTAACTAAAAAGCAATATAGTCGAGAGATTTGTAAAAACAATCGTAACTACGAGAACAAGGTACTTAAAACCATGAATAATCTAAGTAGTGGCATGGTATAATCCATAAGAATCTTGGCAAACGATATAGACCAGCGAGATTACGTCCAACCAGTTCCCCTTTTGTCTCTTACACAAGGCGTCGCGAAATGTTAGTCTATATCGTATGTTCGGATGAAATAGGTATCATTCCTACATGAAGCCTGCTGCGGTTGTAAAACGGCACAATTGATTTTGCAACGATATCTAATTCGAATTGACAAGAATCTTTTGTAGTTATCCTAGCTCATGTATGATCTATGTACAGTATGGTTCATGTTCGTATCAGCGTAATTTTCTCCTTTTCTCCTTTTGCTTGTTGTGTTAGAGTGACAGTGGGTTTTTACAGATAGAAGTGTAACTTGTTATTTTTCAACGTTGGAGGGCACTTACTCGCTAAACTAATCTTTCTGTACTTCTTTCTTATTAACACGTTCTACTTCGCGCTCTTCAGCCGAACAGTGTTTAAAGCTTATTAGTTTCTTCGTTACAGGTACCTGTTATGAAGATACATCGTGTCACGCGGCAAGATTCGCCGTCGTTCTACGCTCAAACTTAATGTTTTATCTGTCAGCCGTACATGTGTCCAGAATTTGTGGTTAATCAACATATGAGTGTCTAGATGTAGAAAAACTTAAACCGTTTTTTCATTACCTCATGAAATGGTCTGATCTCACTATAGCGACCAAGGTAAACCATAGCCTCTTACCGCTTGAAATTTGTTAGGTGAATGCGTGTGTGCGTGTGTTTTACGGAAAAGCATTCATCTAGATCCATCACCAATAAACTAGCTTCTCTTCACTTCAATTCTTTAAGTATATTAGTTTTCTATTTGATTTGGTGGTAGGTCGGACAAAGATATCTGCTTTCGCGAGAGACTTACAGTGCGTCTTATCATGTGATAGAAAAAAAAGCTCTGACACAATGCACTACTGTACACTCGAATGCCATTTCAAATAACACCACAACTCACGGACTTAACGGTGTACAAGACTGTAGATGTTTAGACGAGTTTACACATGCGTGTACATTGTAATTCACAGAAGCTTCTTTCGTTGAACAAAAACATTAATATTAATCATTTATATATATATATATTTAAACCTCCGCAGTCTGTTTGCAACGTTATATTCGAGCATCTCTTCTAGCTATGTATTGACCCTCGAAGGTGCGGAAATGCAGATCCTACAGCAATCGAAACTACTCCTGCAAACTCAGAGTCAACCAGCTTTGTTCTTGCCGTTATGATCGACAACATTAAACTGAACTGTCTTTTCTTGTTTCGTGATACATTGTTACATCCTTCAAATTGAAGCACCTTCCATTGTAAGAGTTGTAGAAAAGAAAAGAGAAATAATTTTAATAATAGAAGCGAATGATCATCTTGGAAGGTTATTTCTACAATGAAGGGTGTAGACGTCTGTTTGTTTGTTCATGTAAGGAATGATTAATTGATCCACTCTAAATCACTGTCTTTGCAGACGGGACAGCTATTCGTCTTCATCGTCATGTGATCATTCACCAATGCTTCTTTCTCACGGAGATCTTACGTTTATTTCACGCTTTCAGTATGAAAATCCAAAACACACTGCTAGTTCTACTACTTTCGCTAATCCATGTTCTCATCTGCTTCCACAACTGGCGATCTACACCTGTCTCGTTAATAGAAGCAGCATACTTCTCACGATTCTGCTACAGTTTGATAACGTTGAAGAAGTCAGTGGAATATACGTATATACATATTTCATATTTAGCATTAGCCTTAGAGTAGAGGAATCTGTTTCTATTCATGGTACTCTGTTCTAATGGACGTTTCATTCGACTTCATGCTGGGAATTTCAATGTCCGCTTCAACTTCCTACAAATTTAGGAGATAACAACTATTTGATTCTTCAGGCATGACTCATGATTCCTTGTGGCTGATAATGAATCTAACTTTCTTGATGCTTACCCTGTTCGCTAATTCTTTAACGATCTTGTAAATGTCTCTTTAAGATTAGAAGATGCTGGAATTAAGATAATACTCCACGCGTCGACCCTTTACGTCACTTTGGAAATACTCTATTCTACAGGCATGCTACCATAAATCATCGGAAAGTAAACATCTCGAATAGAGGTGACAAAATATAGAAACCACATGATCCAAGACGCAAAGGGTCGACGTTCGAAAACATAAAATCGGAAGCATCGCGCGTTACTTGTGCATTAACAGCAACGAATGGCAGCTCTTTCAGACTGGCTAAGCGTGCAATATCCCAGCCCATCCCGAGCAAGATGATGTTGCCTTTGGAACGATCGACGAGCGTCGGACCTCCGATTTCACCTCAAACCGCGCCAGCCATCAGATCCACGGCACCGGAGAAACTCTGACGATTCGCTCGCTGCCGGTCGTTCTTCGAATCCCGGCGGTGAATGATCATCATCTCGTACCGCGAGGATCTTCTCTAGAACAAAGTTAAACCAAAGAAGTCCTCGGTATATTTCAATCGACACATGCTCAACAATCTAAAGAAGATCTAACTTTGTTACTCCACTTTTATATCCACTATGTATACCTGTAAATTGTATCCCGGGGTTAATTGACACGATCAGATTCGGAGCCGGGACACGAGTTCCGGGAGTCGAGGCGCGCTACAGACGTCCTCCGGGCAGCATCTCTCTCCAACGGTCACGAGGCGGCTCGAACGTACGAGGACCTCCGTCTAAAGAGGAGGATCACACGGTGCCCTTCGTTAAACGATCAAATTGATACTCTTCATGCGTTGCGATTGATTTTTCTATCGGCGATCGGAGACCTTTCCCCCTAGAGACCTTTTAACGACACTATCGATAACCACCAGAGGAATATTCTATTGGTAAATAGTGTCTTTTGCAAACCGTGATCGAACATGATCAAAATTTTTGATAAAATAGTGCAACGAGTGAAAGTGACTAGTTCCTACTGTGAATGACGAATAAGGGGGTACGTTTTCCTTTTAGCGAAGAACCACGGTTTGTAGAAGAGGTGTACCGTTTTCAGTCTAGCGAACAAAAATCGTCTATGTATGTACAATCATCTTTTACCGCAGTTCAAAGCCTCTCCTCTGTTAGTAATTTCTAAGGAGTATAAGAATTCGTTGAAATTGTTACCTGATTAACCCTTCGCCATTGTCGAAGGACGATTGACATTCATCGTTACATTGTTAGCTTAAGTGAGGTAGCTCGTAAGCCTTGTTAGTACTCTATTACCAGGAACTAATAGTGATGCATACTGTCGCGGCCAAGTTCCTTCGGTGCTATGTCATTTCCAATGTACTCTTCGTATCGATTTCCTATATAGAGAGAACAGAAGAGGGGGATATGATGATTATCGTAAAAGTGTAACACCGTTTTGTATGTTGTTTATAGAGCAGATCCAAGGGTGATCCCCGAAAACGTTGGTACAAAGACGCTTCCCTCTTAACGCGTAGTTTCCATGTCATCGGCGACCGGCGGATTGTAAATAAACGTGAAAGTGTACATACGAATAGTTTGAGATGTTCATGGGTAACGATATAGAGTATATAATTTCCTAGCTAGCCGCGCGCTTCGTCAACGGTAAATGCTGTCCAGATGATAATAAAAGTAGCCCCCGCTCCGCATCAGACAGACGGACAGGATTTTCGGCGAGAACGCGTCGATCGTTGGTCGATCGGTACGTTTCTCTCGTGAATTGCGCGCTTAACGTTTCTGGTTAGATGAATATTCGCCCGGCGTTATATCGAGCCAGCTCTGTTGGCTCGAATATGCGTATGATTTTTTGTAATATTCTCAGAAATTTCAATTATTCGATCACTCGCTGTTACGACTACTCGCGACGATAGTTACTCCTCGGAGAGCAATAGAAGATTATTGAATTCCCAACTATTTTAAGCGACGATGTCTAAAAAGGAAACGCGTAGACCAGTGATGATCCACGGATCATTACGGACGACGGGGCGACGATCTCTTCTTTTATTTTCCTGAAATGCGTGGTTCGTTGTCAGCCGGAATTAAATGGATAATCGATTAACTCATTGTTGTGCCATCATTGTTCCTTGACTGTTTCAATGATACCGTAGTCAGTCGAAGGTCTGCCATTGATATAGTCCTTGCGCGACGCGAAGGATCCGTGTATTATTTATCCGCGCTGTCTTTGCTGTGATGTGGTAACGATGATAAAACAAATTTATCGATGATAACTAAACTACTGACTGTTTGTATCGTTGTAAAGTGGCATGAACATAGTATACAGATACGAGATATACCTGTGGTGGTGTATTTATATATACGTATGCGTCTATCAGAATTTGACCGTGTACATGTATACATATGTATGTACATAATTGTGTACACGCGTGTACAGGGTGTTCAGGCAAACGACTCGCTTTGTTGGACCGTCTTCCGGGTGCGAGAGCAACCTTGAAGTAAAAAAGTATTAATAGAGATTTTACAATGGAACGTATCCTAGATTTTACACTGTGCAGTCCAATACGAAATGAATCGTAATATTCCTTATTTGGATATCGGAGACGTATTATTTTACTTGTTGCTGGACTGTCCAATAGAGTTATTCGAAGAACACTCTGTACATGCGTGTGTACGACGCAATAAATGTTTAAGATATATGACATATAATAATGTATTATATATATTGTATATTTATTTATTTGTAGATGTATAAGTGACTGCGAAGATATTTTACGGATGAATGATTATTCTCACTGGTAATAAGAGTTATATTTTTGTTAGCGTAACTTAAATGACGTATTGTAATAACAAATCAAGGGTCATTGTTTTATATTATGCGACCTCGCTATAACGTAATCGATTGTTTTATATACCGTTGACACGTGACCTTTTTTTTAATCAGCCGCAGCGGAATTGGATCTCAAGACTTCTGAATACAATGCCTGGCTGAGAAAACTGTAGTCCACTTTCTTCATTGGGTATTGCAATAAATGATAAATTTCTGTCGTTTGACATATTATATTATTTCAATTTCCTCAAACTTCCCGTACATCCAATTCAACCACGAAGTCTAACCTTTAGCGTGCAAGTAGTTCGAATGAAAAACAATCCCGAGAAACTATTGAAAATCGCATTCAAGTACAGGCAAGTTCGCCGATGTGCCAACTTGAACCTTTCAAGTAAATCACTGCAATCTTATTATCCACTGCGTTAAAATATTCTTGCGACGATCTCTTCGAAACGACGCATATATATAAGTCAAAACTTTCTTCTCTACACCCTTTAATTTCAGAGATATAAAATACCCTTCCAACCCTTAACATCGATAGACGTTCTCACCCTTCAAAACGAATACGGCCCAATAAGAAAAAATACGACAACTATTTTCTCGAGAGGCAATCTCGGCGAAGTTTCATAAAAATCGGCCGGTCGAGAAGGTTTTCTCGCAAGCTATAGCTTCCATATCCATCCGAATATACCGGTACATAATCCGTCAAGTTTATCGGCCGATAACGGAATAGTATCGCGGCCGTACCCGATTCCCGCCCCAACCGTGTCGCGCTGGATCGAACGATGGCGGGCGACGCGGCCATAAATCCCGGGGCCGTAGGAATCTATGAACAAAAGTGGAGCCACTTACATGCGGCTCAAGTAAAATTTATGGAAGGTGTTGGAATATAAATGCGCGACGTATCATAAATTCCAGCGCCGGCCCGGCGGAATGGCGGCCCGGCGAAGGCGAAGGCGAAGGCGAAGGCGAAGGCGAAGGCGGGGCGCGGGGAGCGCAAAATGGCGGCCACCCCGTCGCGACTCGAGACTGCTAACGATATTGTTCGGGCGCATCGTGCTCTCTCGTCCCCCTCGAATTCTCCGGGGGGAAACAACAATTTATTCGATCGGGAACACGGTAATGCCCGCGGGAACACTCGCAAATCACTGGCAAACGCGTTGTTTCGCGATGGAATCTCTCCGTCTCGTTCGCGGCCGGCCGTTCTTTTCTGAGTTTCGCCTTTCACTCCGCCGGCTTCCATCTCGTTTACCCCTTTCAGCTTTCCCCGCGATCTCATCCCCCGTCCCGGAAGCCTGGTCTTGCGAATCTGGGTCGGACATCATCCTCGCCATTAATCGGCTCGTCAGCGGCCCGCGAGGAGACGGGGAAACCTGGAAATGGCTCTTTTAATATTTCCTGCGCGCGAATACTGTGCCGGGGACTCGCGTTAAATACCGAGGACACTGCGGTTTCCGATTGCCGCGGCTGCTGCTTCTGGCCGATGTTGATAAACGCGCCGGCTCGAACCGGAGGACGTCCCGTTCGTTCTTTAAATATTGCGGACGAACGGCGCCCGGGTCGATATCGGGGGACTTCTGTGGTTTATAGTCTGTTAAGATTTTAGTACATTCTGTTTGTCCGCCGACTGAGCAGTAAATGCTGGCTGGGCTTTTTCTTCGCGGCGACCCAATTCGATTGTTTTGCGGAGCGTGGGGAATGACTGAAGTTCGAGCTTGGCTGTCTTCTTGATTTATGTCTGCCATCGCGTCCGGAGTAATTGGAAGGCTTTGAATGGAACATTTGCAGGTATCTCGAGGCTAGGAATCGAATGTAATTGAACACTCGAGTTAACGATTTCGGTGTTGCAACTGTTTCCGAAGGAATACTCCACTGACTATAGAAAATATTTTTATCCGCGATAATAGAAAGCATTTCAACCCCTCGCCTTACGTCTTCACTCGTAATTGAAGATTTCAACAGAAATTTAATCTATCGTTCAATTCTTGTAAATTCAAGGGAATATTGTTATCAACCGTTATGCTTAAACGTAGAACAAACATAGGATTCCTTTCTCTTTCTAGTAAATGATTAATCATAAAATATAGAGCACACTTGTCCGAGCTGCGGCTCTCCTACGTCTTCGCGTACGTTGTAGAGCGAGGGTTAATGAATCAGCGACGTCCTCACGAACGCCGTACGTCATCGAAAAGATGGCGGAGGTCCTCGAGTTCCAGGGGAAGGCTCGCGGAGAGCATCAAAGGGAAAGGAGATAATTCGAGGTTGGTATTCCGGTGGTTTCGGTGAGTCGATCAGCAAACGATAACCGGAAAAGAACGCTGATGGGGATACCGGAAGCACGCCGGTCCGGTTAACGAAGTGATCTCGCCCACCCGGGAGACGCATTCCGTCCGGCCAGAGCTAGATTGAAATTGGACGCAGTGACGCGAATTATTATAATCCCGGGGCAGGCACGAGGAACCCCGGCGGCGTTTTTCCTGGGCCGCTCTCGCCCTCCTTTCGTATCGCGGAGCCCAGAAAATTCCTGGCCGAACCCGTTTCCATCCCAGCCCGCGCGCGGACTCCTCCGGCTATCGTGCACGCTCCGCTGACCAAAACTTTCGACCGGCGCATCCCGAACGGTTCGATTATATTTCTCTTTTAATGATAGAATATCCGGGGATGTACGTATGCAGATGGAAGAGAGATTATCACTAAACCCTTTGCAGTCGGGACGATTCGCGATAGGATCGATCGGAAACTTTGGCGTACTTTCGCAGCGGGGCTGCTCGAGATTCGAAGTTTTCGAGAAGAGGAATTATGGGCGTTAGTGGTTGGCTATCGGTTTGCTTTGTTTCTTTCTCAGAACTTTGTTTATTTTGATAGTGCACCTAACTTTCTTTGACATTTTCGGGTTGGCAATGTCTGTTGTTTAGGAGATGAGAGTTTTATATTTTCTTGGTGACCGAGTATCGATGTTCTTGCTGTCATTGTTAGCATTGCTACACCGATCCTTTCAATTCTTTCAATTCCAATTCCTTCGATTATTTCAATCCCTTAAATTACATCTACTATTTCAATTAATCCAATCACTTTAATCAATCGAATAATTTCTACAGTTTCCCAATCCGATCGAAAGCTGCCAATCCACGCAATCCCTCCGCTTCGATTCCAGACTCCGCCGCTATCCCCCAGATAAAGCTGAAAAAAGGCTCGCCATAGATTCCGATAATTATTTTCTTTTTTCTTCGAATGCGCCGGAAGTCGGCAAATCACCGCGACACGAGAGCCGCGCGCGGGGTCCCGGCGGTCCGGCGGGCAGGTCGAATAATTCTTCGTTTCAGATGCAGCAACAGCCGGGTACGGGGGGTATCGATTTTTCACCGGGTGCCTTGTAATGCTTCAACGTCGGGTTCAGAAGCGGTTTAGTCCTTCGGTGTAAATGTTCCCATTAGGCCGCGGGAGGCGGACGACGAAAGGAGGAAATCCTGCAACGATAAACTGCTGCCAGGATGAACCGGCTACCCCGGCGCCGCGCGCGTGTTGCAGTTTAATGTTCGACGCCGCTAAACTCCGTGTACTAAAGCGTGACGCGCGTTCTACATTAGCGGGGAAACTTCCGCGACCCGCCCTACCGCCGAGGATTTCTGCTCCGGTTTTTACGGCCTCGTAAAATCGCGAACTTGTCCCGCTCTCCGAAAATATTCAGCGCTATCAGTTATTATTTACGCCTCCCTGCCGCGGGCGAAACGATCGTCTCCTTGCCCGGCCGCCATCTTGTCGGCGAGGGGACCTACTCTAGAATGCGTCCTCCGCTACTGTGACAATCGTGCGAGTTCTTTTTAAGATTGATTCGTTCTGCAATTTGGAGGATTTCTGTAGAAATTTTGAGGAGTACTGTTCTGGAAACCGAATGTGAAATTATTCTCTAGAAGTCCTATGTTTTAACCGTTTGCACTCGAGAGGCGCCTTTCAGTCGCCATTTGATTTGACCGAGCAAAATGATAAAATTTGAGATTCAACATTAAATTTTATATAGTGTATCAATACATGGAACATCGAAATAAAATGGTTCTGTCGCTTAATTTGTGAAAGGCATTCCTTTCTGTTAGTTGCAAAAAATATTGATATTTCATCAGAAAGTAATGAATATTTGTCGAGAAAAATATTCTCGAGTGCAAAGAGTTGAAGCCTTGAATGTGGACTTCAAGTTTATCTGGAGAACAATGTTTGAGATTGATTTTTGAGGAAACTTATGTCATCTTCCGAGTGGAAAGGGTGACAGTTACTCGTAAGCTCCGACTCCCCTGAGCCGAATACAATTTTCGAAACAGCGCTAGTTGGGAGCGTTCGTCGAAAAAAGGAGAAAGTGCGGGTGACTACGGTTGAACGAACAAAGCAAACAAACAAATTAATTAAAAGTCGCGTGCGTGACGTTATTCCAGTAAATTCTGTTGACTCGGGTAGCCGTCGCGGCGAAAGGGTGCGCGGCGCGCATGGTCGGCCGCGTTTTGAACAATATTAGCGGGCCCGAGTGTTTCGGGTTAAATTCATTTGAAAAAAACAGGATGTTGCAGCCACGGAGAGGATCCCCGGCGCGAAATCCGACCGAAATTAAATGAAACACCCCGGCTGCCAGTGCATCCTCCGCCGCGTTACATTTAATTATCCCCGGAGAAGAGCGGCCGGGTGCTTCGCCGGGGCAACACGTGTTCCGCCCGTCAAAATTCGAGTGCCGTTCCCACGATTTCCGTCGGTGATTTTCGCGGCGGCAATCACTTTAATGATCACGCGGCGCCTCCATTAACAAAGCGTCCCGAAGAGCCGGGGATCCCCGGACGAACGCGCGTCGCCGGCGACACAGCTCGCGTCGAACCCTTTTCGAACGCTTGCAACCCTCGCGAGTCAACCCCTCGAGCGCGACGCGTCGCTCGATAGTCAACGGCGACGCGACGCACAGTCGATTAATCTGAGGAGTCGGACAAAAATCACATTGATCTCACTACAGGGAATTCGCGTCGTGTTAGAACTCGATAACGTAAAAATATGACTGGTACGAATGAATGCTTCGGAGCAAAGCTGCGAGGCACAGAGATAAACGTATGATATTATCATTTGTTTACATTATCTTTCGATTCTAACGTTATAGAAATAGAGAATCTATTTGCACGAAGTTGTTTTTGAAATGGAAATCATTCTGTATAGCAGGACTAAGCAGTAAT